AAGACACTTCGTTTAGTGGAATGTTATGGCTTGATATTAGCGCACTAGTATTATACAGTACAGTCATCATGCAATATGTGTGCATGGAGCGGGGTAATGATTAACTATTGCCATCTTTGCTTTACCGAAAGGTTGCATCACAATGGCAGTTTTTGTCAATTTTCGCATTTCCGTATAATCTTCCTGCATGTGAATGTTCCAACCCTATCACACTGACTTAAAACACACTGAAACTTTGGGGGGTGAAACTTAATAGAAAGCTTCTTTGTCATTTGTTTTCTGTTTAATTGGAGTAATATATATATATATATATATATATATATATATATATATATATATATATATATATATATATATATATATATATATATATATATATATATATATATATATATATATATATATATATATATATATATATATATATATATATATATATATATATATATATATATATATATATATATATATATATATATATATATATATATATATATATATATATATATATATATATATATATATATATATATATATATATATATATATATATATATATATATATATATATATATATATATATATATATATATATATATATATATATATATATATATATATATATATATATATATATATATATATATATATATATATATATATATATATATATATATATATATATATATATATATATATATATATATATATATATATATATATATATATATATATATATATATATATATATATATATATATATATATATATATATATATATATATATATATATATATATATATATATATATATATATATATATATATATATATATATATATATATATATATATATATATATATATATATATATATATATATATATATATATATATATATATATATATATATATATATATATATATATATATATATATATATATATATATATATATATATATATATATATATATATATATATATATATATATATATATATATATATATATATATATATATATATATATATATATATATATATATATATATATATATATATATATATATATATATATATATATATATATATATATATATATATATATATATATATATATATATATATATATATATATATATATATATATATATATATATATATATATATATATATATATATATATATATATATATATATATATATATATATATATATATATATATATATATATATATATATATATATATATATATATATATATATATATATATATATATATATATATATATATATATATATATATATATATATATATATATATATATATATATATATATATATATATATATATATATATATATATATATATATATATATATATATATATATATATATATATATATATATATATATATATATATATATATATATATATATATATATATATATATATATATATATATATATATATATATATATATATATATATATATATATATATATATATATATATATATATATATATATATATATATATATATATATATATATATATATATATATATATATATATATATATATATATATATATATATATATATATATATATATATATATATATATATATATATATATATATATATATATATATATATATATATATATATATATATATATATATATATATATATATATATATATATATATATATATATATATATATATATATATATATATATATATATATATATATATATATATATATATATATATATATATATATATATATATATATATATATATATATATATATATATATATATATATATATATATATATATATATATATATATATATATATATATATATATATATATATATATATATATATATATATATATATATATATATATATATATATATATATATATATATATATATATATATATATATATATATATATATATATATATATATATATATATATATATATATATATATATATATATATATATATATATATATATATATATATATATATATATATATATATATATATATATATATATATATATATATATATATATATATATATATATATATATATATATATATATATATATATATATATATATATATATATATATATATATATATATATATATATATATATATATATATATATATATATATATATATATATATATATATATATATATATATATATATATATATATATATATATATATATATATATATATATATATATATATATATATATATATATATATATATATATATATATATATATATATATATATATATATATATATATATATATATATATATATATATATATATATATATATATATATATATATATATATATATATATATATATATATATATATATATATATATATATATATATATATATATATATATATATATATATATATATATATATATATATATATATATATATATATATATATATATATATATATATATATATATATATATATATATATATATATATATATATATATATATATATATATATATATATATATATATATATATATATATATATATATATATATATATATATATATATATATATATATATATATATATATATATATATATATATATATATATATATATATATA